GGGGGGGGGGGAGTTTGCAGTAACTTAAATTAATTGACTTGTGAAGTCAAGACAATCTCTACAACAGTCGAAAGATAATATCATAATTGAAACAGAAGTTATTTTCCAAGCATTTCCTTGGAGAAAAAGAGATCAGACCCTAAAAGTATAACAAAGAACATATATGACAGTCTAATGTATAATACAACCTGCAGCTGATTTGAATATATATCAAGCACAGAAGGCTCCATATTGAAGTGCTAGAATAACCAAATGAAAAGCTTTGCCCCCTACACCAATCCACTGATATGTTAAAAGAGCCAAACAGGATATAATGCTTTCTCCCCCACTGTTTTACCACAAAGCTTTTTCTTCCACTACTATATCCAAGGACTCATATTATCTTGAGAACTGACTTACCTCCAGGGGATTTGGATTATAAAAAGCCTATAACTCTTATAATTGAATTTGTCAAGGATAGCAATCTTGACAAACGGCACATGCTAACTCATAAGTAAAGTATTCCATGTCTTTCAATCCTTAAGCTGCCACAGAGACCAAGAGCTCGGACATCATGGAGCATCTACATTACTTAAAAGGGGGAAGCAAGGGGTAGCTGGGTAAAAGTTTTTTTTAAGCGTATCATTGCCTCCAAGATATCCTTCAAATTAAGTGACTAAAGGAGCTTATCATTAAAAGGAAACGCTAATCATGTCCTCAGATGACTAATCAAAGGGAAAGTCAGGCCATAACAGAGGGTATTTTTCTCTGAAGGGAATAGGAAAGAAAGCAAATCATTCTTTTCCTGTTTCAAAGAAAAAATTATTCATAGTTACTATCTTGATTGAAATTTTATTTTACTTATAATTTTGCAAACACGTGGAATCTGTCACAAAAATTGGCGTCAGAGATAGAGAAAGAGAATGAGCAGCAATCAAGTTTTAGCACAAAAGAAAATAGCCGCTGGAACAATTGGCACAAATCTTGCCTCTTCTTTCATCTTATCTTGGAAGGTTGATGGCAGCATGTTGGGAAACACTGCCAGGAATACCGGCAACAAGAACTCCATAAATGGAACAATAATAAACACTGCAACAGGAACCAGCCTAAAAATATCAGCTGTTGTCCGTGTTAGTTGTTGCCTTTCCCTCCGGGAAAGACTCTTCCCATTGGCTGTCTTCAACAACAGTCTTGAACATATCCTAACATCAGCCCAAAGCAGTTTGGTGCCCAACCAATAGTGTTGCATTGTTGACTTAAATTCATCCTTCCAATGTCGCATCTTTTTTGCCCAATCTTCCCTGGAATAAGTGCAAAAAGTGACTTAATACATAGGTATAAAACATTATCTATCTGTTATATAGGAATAAAATATATTTTCAACCTGCTCATTGAAGCAACAGCTCTCAAAGCAGGACCAATCCCTAATAGCACAGCCCAAATTTTCTTAAGTATAGGTTGAATACCATTCTGTGAATCTTGCAGCTGTTTTGCTTTTGCTTTGGCTTTGGCCATGGTTAAATCTTCAACTGCTTCATCACATTCTTCTGGTGAAGCTTCTTTCTTCTGTCTAACAGTTGGTTCTTCATCCTTATCATTTCCTTTACCGAAATCAGGTTGACCTGCTGCAGCTGTCGAATATCGTTGATGGTCTGTCATCCACCTGGTCCCCAAAGGAGAAAGAGACCCATATCTTCCTATTCTCAGACCCAGGGCTGGAATTTCAGATGAATTGGATAGGACATGTTTTCCCCATACTTTTAGTAACTCATTTTCGGTTAGTGGACTTGAATTTCTTTCCTTTTTGTTATCTGCATTTTGAGATTGATGAGTTACTGTAGAGCACCAATCCCAAGCATTAGAAGCCTTAGAAGATCCACAGTTCTCATAGCTCGAAAAACCTCGAATGAAAGTATGAGGTCTCACAGTAGAATCAAAGAGGTTCCTCTTCCTTCTCAATATTGCTCTTGAAGCCATTAGCAAAAAGTTCTTCTTTGCATACAGCTAATGTAACATATTTCAGAAATTCCTCGCCTAAAGCCAGCCTGTTTAATAGAACAGATTATTATACTAATAAAAGACCATAATTCACTAAACGTACAGGATCATATAAGCATTTTACTTAACAGATTTTTTTTGGATCAACTAATTAAAAAGCAAGTGAATTAGTTCAATTCTATTATCTTCTTTCCTCATTACAACCACCTCCTCAAAGGGCAGCCCGGTACACTAAGCTCCCGCTATGCGCGGGGTGCGGGGAAGGGCCGGACCACAAGAATCTATTGTATGCAACCTTACTCTGCATTTCTGCAAGGGCTGGAAAAGGCTGTTTCGAATTGAATGGGGAGTCAGTTCAATATATACCAATTTGCTACAGTTATTAGTAACTGTCGTGTATCTGTATTGCAAAGTCATGCTGCCATTCAATCCACCCCAAAACTTCACTCTCTCTTCCCAATTTCAACTTTCAGTTGTAAAATCTTTACATTACTGAATGCAAAACAAAAAAACTGGAGCAGACAGTCCTTACTGCAACATGAATGCTCTAACTTCAAATGATAAACAACAATTACATTCATTTTTTATGTGGATAAATGACAATGATTGCATTCTGTTGCAATAAACACTCTTTGCCTCCCACAGAAAGAAAGTCAATCCAAGCAGCAAACAAAAATGCCAAATCCCCTGCTCGTTGAATCACATATCCACAATCTTCCTTCCTTTTTTTTTCTTTTTTGATGACAGAGGTGTTCGGGACAGCTTGTGTTACCCCTCGACCCTCGACTATTCCACCATATTCCCCCTACCACAAGTACTACGTAACTCTACTTACCAAGATTGAGCAGATGAGAAGAAATCACCTAGTATTGTTTGTCTCCACTGGGATTTGACCCTGAAACCTCATGGTTCTCCACACACTTCACTGACCACTAGGTCACACCCTTGAGTATCCACTCTTCCTTCTTCCGCAGCTCCAAAGACCTTCCAAAAGCTTATAATACTCATCCAATCAACAAAAAATAGTACTAGCAAAACATTTCCATTACCATCCTTCCTCATTATCCCAAAATTAAGTATCTACAACCACCTCATTACACATTTTTCCACAAAATCACACCTGATGTAGCCACTTGTCCATCATGCATAAATGTATACATATCCACACTATTCCTTCTTCCACAGGTCCAAATAACTTCACGATGTCTATAGTACACATCCCAATCCAGAGACAGATGTCAGGTGTTAGTTACAGGTTCATCCGAACCCAGGAGCTTTGGCTCAGACTCCGTATATTATTCACTACATAAGTACAAGTAATCTATTTCGAACCATTAAAGCAAATGAGTTGGGGTAGAGTTATGGTAGAATCCCCAAGGCGAAACCTAAAGTTCAAATTATGGATCCGCCTCATTCCCAGTCTACAAATTCCATTATCATAGTCTTTCCTCTTTATCCTCAAAATTCAGTTTCTACAACCCGCTAGTTACACAGTTTTCCACAAAAACAAACCTAACATATCCATTAGTTCATCATCCACAAATATACGTTCATAAAAGCAATCAAAAACCTCGTCAAAAAACAAATTCAATTCGCATTGCTTCAAGCTAAGTAAATACAATAACTCGCTCAATGTATGCATTCCAAATGAGAACAAATAGTAAAAAATGTAAGCTAAAATTAATTTTAAAAAAACACAAAAATATCATCAAAATCAACCGAAAATATGAAATGAAACAATTGAATAAGCTCTGACCTGAGATTGATGATCGACAAATTCGTGTTCGAATGTTCTAGAAGAATGAAATAAAATCAGCAGTCACGTGTAAATGATTTTTCACCAAATAGTTTAGTATATCAAATCGAACACGTCTTTCAGTAATAGAAATTTACATAGAGAATTCGGAGAGAGTCGAGTCTTCGCGCTAATCAATTTATAGTAAGAGAGATGCACTGGAGTAGGGAGCAAGTATATTCCCGAGAATAGAGTGCATAGCCACTAAAAGAGACTGGGTCGTGCTTTTTTACCTGTGCTAAATGTAATGGACCGTTCCAGGAATGTGTTGGATTAACTTGAAATGGATTGGGCTTTTGGCACTTTTGTGTTGGGAAAAGAACACAACTAAGCAATAATTTAAAAAAATTTACACATCTTAGCAGATTTTCTTAATTTACATTTTTGACGTAAAAATTGCGCGGGACGCCCTATTTGGTCGCCCCCATTTAACTTATACCCATTTTTTTAAAGTTTTAACTTGTACCTATTTTCTAAACAACTTCAGTCCCCTTTCTCCTCCTTCTTCTCCTCCTTCGTTTTCTTCTTCTTCTTTTTTTTACTACTATTGGTGTTGTTATTAAACTTCAGTTCATGAAGATAATTGCCATAAGTATATTTATCAGATTATTTAAAAATAAATTATAAATAACTTTCTAAAGTAAGTACGTACATGTATGTAAATATAAGTCTATTTCCTTTAATTCACATTCTATTATTTTTTTTGGATTCAGCTTTGTACATTATCAATTCATATTAACATGTTGTGCTAAATCATCATCTAGTTTTTTAAGTTACTAATTCTACTTATGATAAACTTATTATCTGTACAAAAAATCAATTACATGATAGCATAAAACATGCTGAAGTTCAACAAATATAGAACAAAACTTCAGCTAGAACATGCTGAAGTTCAGCAAATAGAGAACAAAACTTCAGCTACTAGAATGCTTAAGTTCAGCAATTACAAACAAAAACTTCAGCAAATAGAGAACAAAACTTCAACTATTATGCTTAAGTTCAGCAATTACAAACAAAAACTTCAGCACACTTGGTTCAGCAATTTTTGTTACTTCAGGCCCGTTTACTAGAATGCTGAAGTTTTGTGTGATTGTCTTTGCTATTTCATGCTCGTATGCTGAAGTTACACAAAAAAGTGAGTACGCTTGCAATTATTTTTGCAAAGTGGCCACAAGTTAAAACGTGGCCTAAAAAGTGGGTATAGATGCAAATGCCCCATTTTTGACAGTCATATATTTGCATTTCAATCACAATCCAACTAGACTCTATCTATCAAACTGGCATCTCATCATCCCAATCCCAGCGAAAATCATGTTTCATTAAATTTCAACAGTGTTTAACTAATTTCACGCTAGATAAAGTTTTATTTTTGAGGAATATATTCTAGAGGTGTTTATTAAACGGGTTGGACCAGACTGGACATGGAAAAAAATAGTTCGTCCAGTTAGTGGGGCGGGTTGGTTAGTGGGCTAGGATTTTCCAAGTTAAGTTGGGCCCGTCCGCGTTCTGGCTTATCAGGTCTTATTCAGTGTAATTGATAATTAATTTTTTGTAAACTTTTATATAATAAAATAAGTATTTTTAAACTTTAAAGTTTTAAGTTTTAAATTTAAAATTTGAATTTTAATATTTGAAAATTGATATTAAGTGGCTACATAAAATTATTTAATAAGACCAATATGTAAGGATCAAACTTCAAAGGCTTTCGTTTCATATTATCAACGCATAATAATACTGCAAATTAGTTTGCTAGTTCTATTTTGATTTTTTTTTTCGAACTTGCAAATTAATAGTTTACAACAATTATAAAAAATAAGAAAGAGTACATCACTGTCACGACCCCAACCCCGGTCGTGATGGCGCCCAACACACTGCTAGGCAAGCCTGACCAACTAACAACCTCAATCTGTTTTCTTATAAAAATCATTATCAGCTAACACAGTTAAATTGCTAAATTACCCTAATAAGAGTTTAAGACAACGAGTTAAATATGCGAAAATTCAAATGATAATACCACTACATAGCCCATACAGATCTGGTGTCACAAGTCTCGAGCCTCTAGTACAAAGTTTAACAGCCTAATACATAATCAGTCTAGGAAATGCGGATAAAATGAAAGGATAGAAGGGAGAGATTCGGGTTGCTGACACCGTGCAGCTACCTCGATGCTCCCGGATATAAACTGATCGACTGAAAATCCTCACTTAGCCTCTGGAACACCTGGATCTGCACGCAAGGTGCAGGGAGTAATGTGAGTACTCCGACCCAGTGAGTAATAAGCATAAATAATGACTGAGAATAAGAATTTACGGAAAAATACATAGTAATCTATAATGCGGCAGTTTAAAACAAGTAATATGAAAGCAATAAACCAATGGAAATAAAATATGGTAATGTTACAACAAATAAGCAGTTAAGTGGCAGACATATAAAGAAAATCAACACATAGAACGGTACCCTATAGTACCCGCTGCGGCGTGCAGTCCGATCCATATATTTCGTCGACAGTGCTCACTGGGGGTGTGCAGACTTCGGGAGGGGCCCCTTACATCCCAAGCGCAATATCAAGCCATCTCATGGCATCCAATCCAGGCCATCGGCCTCATATCAATATCAGTATAACATTGCTGCGGCGCACAGCCTGATCCATAGTATCCTCACATCTGGCCCTTGGCTGTACTCAGTCCAAAAATCATATAAGCCCCTCGGGCATTAATAAAATAGTAGTTCTCAGCCGGAAACATCATTTAATATATCATTTTAGTTTCAAACCGAGTAAAAGTGGCTGAGTTATAAAACAGTGGAAAACCGTACGACTGAGTTCAAGTAGTAAGTCAAAACAGTGAGGAAATAGTGATAAAACTCCCCGGAGGGTTCAAATAGTTGGCACGAAGCCCAAATATGGCAATCAGTCCAAATAATAATGAGAACAAATAAGCTTCAATCAAATACGCGGTAAAAGCATCACTCGGGACGGACTAAGTCACAATCTCCAATAGTAAACGACCCCACGCTCATCATCAAGCGCGCGTCTCATCTCAATATAGCACTACGATGTGCAAATTTGGGGTTTCAAACCCTCAGAACATCATTTACATTCATTACTCACCTCAGACCGGCTAAATCTCTAGCTCGCGACGCCTTTGCCTATCAAATCGGGCTCCTCACGCGTCGAATCTAACCAAAACCAGAACGGAAACGTCACAATATGCTAAGGGGACAAAGCCCAAGCGAAAACAATCAAAAAATATCAAAAATCTAGACATTAGCACAACTCGAGTCCCGGGCCCGCTTCTCGAAACTCAGAAATTTTCACATCAACGGGTTCCTTATCCTTCCACGAGTCCATACATATCAAGAGTTCTCGAATCCGACCTAAAATGGCCCTTCAAATCCCAATTTAAAATCTCAAAATTCCAAGCCCTAGTTCTTCCATTTTTAGCTAAATTTCCATGAATTTCTAGGTTATTTTCACAATAGAATCACGTTTTATGCTCATAAATCTTACCTCCAATCACTTCTCCTCGAATCCCTCTTCAATTTCCCTCAAAGAGCTCTCCAAATACTCAGCTATGGTGGAAAAATGGCTCAAAATCACGGATGAAATGTTTAATAAACTCACTGCCCAGACATAACCTCATCTGCGGTCCAATAGCCGTTTCTGCAGTACCGCTTCTGTGGTCATTTCTCAGCATCTGCAAAATTTCACTTACTGGTCCAACACCGCATCTGCGGTCCTTTCGCCGCTTCTGCGGCTCCGCAAGTGCGGTCCCTCTTCCGCATCTACGGTTCCAGGCCTTCCTCAGCCTTTCCACTTCTGCGACCCAAACCACGCATCTGCGATACCGCACTTGCGGTCCCCAAACCGCATGTGCAAAAACACCAGAAGCAGCAGAAAATCTGTCATTACTCAAGTTCCAAAACTTCCTGTTAGCCATCCGAAATCACCCCGAGGCCCCCGAGACCTCAACTAAAAGCACCAACGCAACCCAATACCTAATTAAAATTTGTTCCAATAATCAAAACACCTCAAACAACGCCAAATCCATCAATTCACATCGAATTCAAGCCTAAGTTTTCTAAAAACTTCCGAAATACGCGTTCGATCAAAAAACCAACCAAAACACGTCTGAATGACCTGAAATTTTGCGCACACATCCCAAATGACAACGAAGCTACAACAACTCTCGGAATTCCATTCCGACCCTTGGATCAAAATCTCACCTACCAACCGGAATCACCAAAATACTAACTTCGCCAATTCAAGCCTAATTCTACACCGGACCTCTAAAACCACTTTCGATCACACTCCTAAGTCACAAATCACCTCCCAAAGCTAACCAAACCAACAGAACTCACATTCGATCCCTCTAACTCATAAGTCAACATCCGGTTGACTTTTCCAACTTAAGCCTTCTTAAAAGAGACTAAGTGTCTAATTTCTTACCAAAACCACGCCAAACGCAAACCAATCAACCCGACCACATAAAACACGGGTAACGAAGCATAAAGAAGCAGAAATGGGGGAAACGGAGTGGTAACTCATGAGACGACTAGCCAGGTCGTCACATCCTCTCCAACTTAAACAAACGTTCGTCCTCGAACGAGTCAAGAAACATACCTAAAGCGTCAAACATGTGAGGATATATGCTCTGCATCTCCCGCTCGGTCTCCTAGTTAGCCTCTTCCACGGGCCGACCTCTCCACTGCACTTTCACTGAAGTTATATCCTTTGACCTCAACTTCCAAACCTGACGACCCAAAATAGTTACTGGCTCCACATCAAAGGTCAAATCATCATCCAACTGAACAGTGCTGAAGTCCAAAACATGAGACGGATCTCCAATATACTTTTGGAGCATAGAAACATGAAATACCGGATGCACGCTAGACAAGCTGGGTGGCAGAGCAAGCATATAAGCCACCTCCCCAATCCTCTGAAGTACCTCAAAAGGACCAATGAACCGCAGACTCAACTTCCCTTTCTTTCCAAATCTCATAACACCCTTTATAGGCGAAACCTTTAACAAAACCTTCTCACCCACCATATAGGACACATCCCGAACCTTTCGGTCCGCATAACTCTTCTGACGCGACTGCGTTATACGAAGCCTCTCCTAAATCACCTTCACTTTCTCTAAGGCATCCTGAACCAAATCTGTCCCCAATAGCCTAGCCTCGTCGGGCTCGAA